GACTTGGATTGTTCAGCAATGCTAAAACTGTTAGGACTTTGGCAACTCTTGCCGATGGGCTAAGTGCCTTTTGCATAAAGAGATGTGCATGAGTCTTTGGGGGGCCATGTGCAAAATGTTACAGTTCTAATATAATATATTGTTGATAGACAATACCCGCTCTTAAAGATTGTTGAACCTGTGTTATAATGTTCAACTTATACAATGTTAAAAATAAGCATATCTTTGTAGCTAAAAACTGGTTTTAAAAAATGTGTCTGGTTGCCAAGTTGACAAGGGGTGGATTGTAATGGTTAATACATTGTGTCGACTTGAGAAGTTTAGAAGTTGAATTCAGCAGGGATCCAGGGTCCTTACTTTGTAGACATCTTGAGCTTGTAAAAGAGAAAGATATGGAGATGGTGTAGGTATAAAGGACGCCCCCAGGGTGGATAGCCTGCATACATTATAAGGGGGAAAAAAATTTTGCTTCTTCCCCTTGTGCTCTTGCTGCTTTTGCTGTCTTCTGCCACCTTAAAGTGTTGCCCCTGGGCCATGCCACCCTGCCTTGGAGCCTGCTGATTATGGACTAAAGCCTCCATAAACTGTGAGCTAAATAAACCTTTCCTTCCTTACTTTGGGGTGTTGATATTTTGCCTCAGCAACAAAAAATGTAACCAAGACAGGTGGCTCAGGGAAACTGGGGAGAATAGAACATTCCAGGGGGAGAAAAGAGTCTGGGAAAGACCCTGTGGCAGGACAGAATGGCTCTGTGTGAATATCTGAATGATCTGGGCGGTATTTCTATTCTCCTTAGAAATTGGGGCCCAGCACTCAGGAGGCTGAGGCAGGAGGCTCGCCATCAGTTCAAGGCCAGCCTGGGCTACAAAGTAAGTTCAAGACCAGCCTGAACTGCACAGAGAGACCCTGTTACACAAAATAAACAAACAAAGAAGCTGAAGCCACCAGAGGACATATATAAAAGGACAGGTGGATGAGCCAGGGTGAGCATTCTAGAAGGCCTAAGGAGCAAAATAGTTTAGGGAAAAGAGCCCAGATTCTGTAGGGCCCAAGTCTGAGCTCCAGCATCCTCTGGGCGAGATCACCCTATTCACAGATGCCTCAGCTTTCTCACCTGCAAAATGGAGATCAGCTTCTCCTTTAGGGAGAACAGGTTGAGGGAGGAACGTCATGGAAACAGAGCACACAGACAGGCACAAAACAGATGCTCCAAAACAACCATTACTAGGATATTCTCCTACCACAGTCTTTCCGTCCCTCACCACCAGCTTCCGGGGAACTCTTCCCCAACCCCTCCCTGGACTGTAAACCCCCTGAAAGCAGCAGCAGGTATGATTTTTCTTTGCATCCCTCCCCCTATCCTGTCAGTAGAGCCTGGCTCATTGGAAGGGCTCAGGAAACGTCTGTGATACTGAAAACAAGTAATTACAGCAACTAATAAACTAAAGAATGCTTTTGTGGAGGACAGAAAAGTCATGAGTCCCAAATGATCAAATGACAAAACACGCTCTATCCTCAGGAGTGTCTGAGTTCCTTCTGAGGTCCTGAGAAAATATCCACTCATCAACATATGGGCAATGAGACGCAGGTGCTAGCTCTTTCAATTACACTCCTAGGCAACACAGCAGCGTGTTGCAATTGGCAGGCTTTTAACCAGCATTTCCTTAGCACTTTATGGCTCGTACATTCTTTCCACTGCACTCAACAACTCTGTGAACTAGGTGGGTTGCTGATTTGTCTCATGTTTGCCATACAGATGAAGGAGCAAGGGCAAGATATTTGCCTGTGGCTCAGTAGTGAGCCACAGAACTCAGGCATAATCCTGAGTCTTTCAGATCTAAATCCTCTCTGCTCTTTTCCTGTAGCACAACTACACCTGCTGACCCTTGAGTCATACACACAAAATACTGCATGCACTCAAGAGATAGGGAATTGTAATACACAGAACCATCTTCTGAAAGCTACCCCAGCGTGTTGACAGAGGACAAGAAAGGATGTCACCCCACTCCATGTGACTCAAACAAAAACAGAATTCCTCTTATGCTTTTTTTTTTTTTTTTATGTACTGGGAATCGAACTCAGGACCTTGCACTTGCCAGGCAGGCATTGTGCCGCTGAGCTATATCCCTGGCCCCAGAAAGAATTCCTCTTATGGAGAAAGAGGTGGATCCTTCAAACCAGTCTGCTCACCACCATCAGAGTCTTCAGAATCAATGTTCATACCACTCCGTTTGTCCAGGGAACCCCCATCAGTCCCCATAAAAATTTAAACGTAATTCTTTAATCTTTAACAGGGGGTTTAAATAAACCTCAGTCTCTTTCCTGTCTTGTTCTCAGCTACCATCTTCCACTGCCCACTTCTTATTTATCCCCCCCAGGGTTTATCTATATAAACACAAGCAATTGTGAACGTGCATTTTGTCCCCTCCCACTTTCCTTCTACTGAAAATGCTATACGGCATTTTCATGTTGTTCATGGTGTGATGCAGTTTCAGGGTGAGAATCTTCCCTCCCCTGCTTTCTAGGAACTGTGAGGCCTCTGCTGTGTGCTCTTCACAGCAGCCTGGGCCAGGCAGAGGCCAGGGGATCGATAAGCACCTGCTGGAGGGGATAGGCCAGGTTCAATAGGCAGATCGATCTCTGGAGAGAGTCCAGACTGTGTGAGGCCAGCCGTTAGCCCTATGCAGTGTGGCAGGGGCTAGGGAGGAGGGGTGTCCCTCTGGCCAGGTGCTACAGTCACTCTGGGAGGCTGTGGCAGGAGCATTGTTGAGTTCAAGCCCAGCATGGGCAATTTTTCAAGATCCTTCCTCAAAATAAAAAAGAAAGGAGAGAAAAGAAAAAGAGTAAGAAAGGAAGAAAAGGAAAAGAGACTACAAGGGTCTAATGCCTCCTGGAGTGGTAATGGCTTCACTCCTGATAACATCTCTGTCTTCTGAGTCATCAAAGAAAAAAGGATCTTTGCACAAAGACTGCAGAGGACTCTCGCATTAAGGAAGAATGTTCAGCAAGTACAAAGGAAGAGATGAAGCTTCTTCTTTGACTCCTGCTCCCCGCCACACACACGCACAGATTCTCTTCACACACTATGCTAAGCAACTAGAGGTTGATCTGCCCCATCTGGACCACCCCCAGTCTTTGGAGAAGTGCTTGCAAAGAAACGATGCTGTAGGGCAGCCAGTGCCGGATCAGGGCCTGGGAAGGCCTCCTAGGACCAGCACTGGCTCCTGTTAGCAGAAGCTGCAAAATCACTGACAGGAAGGTGCCACAGACATCACTGAGAAGCTATACAACTAATTTTGGGAAGTTTAATTTGCTTCAATTAAAAATTCAGGGCAGCTCTAAGCAAAACATAAGTAGGTGAATTTCTTTTCCAAGCCTCAGCCCAGGCCTCGCTGCAGGCCTGTTCCCGAGGGAGCTGCACCCCAGCCTCGACTGCTGCTAACTGGCCCTTTGCGAGACTCACAGCATTTCCTCCCTCTCCTGCCAGAACAGACCAAAGCTCTGCCTGGGGAGAGACTAATCTTAGCACTCAAGTCTTCTTTATGGAATGCCTTAACCAACCCTTTTCTGGAAGAAATGTTATATAGGAGTGCATGCAATGTTTTTTGTTTTTTTGGTTTTTTTTTTTGAGTCAGGGTCTCACTGTGTAGTCCAGGCTGGCCTCAAACTCATGGTGACCCTCCTGCCTCAGCCTCCTAAGTGCTGGGATTACAGGCTTGCACCACCACACCCAGCTCCTGAAATTTCTGACAGAAGTATAAAAAATGGGTAACGATACTACCCTAAGTCTAGAGGGGACTTAGAGGGGCTGGGGATATGGCAAAGCAGCACAGTGCCTGCCTGCCAAGTGCGAGGTCCTGAGTTTGACTCCCGGTACAAAAAAAAAAAAAAAAAAAAAAGAGGAGACTTTGCGGGTCAGCAGTGAGAGGAACTCACTTTTTGAAGGTACATGTAAACTTCCTCATACATGTTCAACAGTCTTCAAATAAATTTTCAAAACGTCCCCTCTTAATCTTCAAATACTTTGGCCCAAAAAATTTAGAGATGTGATGCCTGGCCAGGCCATGGTTCCCCAACTATGACATGGCCCCAAGCACTGCTGTCCCACCAGTCAGGCCACAAGTTGGTCAACAGTGATCTGACACAAAAAGTATGCTGGATTCATTGCTGAGTCTCATTCAAGAATAGGAACCAAGAATCAGGGCCTCTCTACACAAAGACACAGGTGTCACTATTCCTACTGCATTCATTCTTGGGGCCCAAAAACAGATCCCAGCCAGGCTGCCTCAAGCTTAAACCCACTCCACCCCCAAAAGACGGGAGGGTTTCTGTTAGCTCACATAACCTAAAATCATAGGGGAGTCACCTTCACGCACAACTGGACCCAGGGGCCCAAAGACATCACCGGGAATTGGCCCTGCTCTCTCTGCACAACTCCACCTCAGGAATGCTCTCCCCTCATGGCCAGCAGCTCCAGCCTGTCCTCTCAGAGACCCTCCGGAAGGAAACGTGCCTTTTGCGGTTGCACCAGCGAAAGGCCAATGCTGGGCCTTGGTGGGCCACAGCAGGGCACAGGAGCAATCCTGAGCCATTCCCCGCGCCCAGACATCAAGACAGGTGAAGCAGGAGGGCAGTCAACCCACAGAAGCCACTGGGCTGTGCTTCAAGAAGGTCGTAGGCAGGGGAAGCTCTGAACACCCAGCTCCACACACCCTCCCAGCAGCCTGAGGTCTTCACTTCCCAAATGAGATCTCAGAGTGAGTTTCTGAGCCTGGCTATTTGGTTGGCGGTGATTCCATGCCCAGAAACATGACGGGTCACGACCAGTAGGAGGACAGGGTCCCTACAAAGCAAGAGTCCCACATGACCCACCAGCCATGGCCAGAGCAGAGCTGGAGATGGGGTCTCGGACCACACACAAGGCTGGGTAGAAGCTGCCCACTCAGGAAAAGGCTAGTGGGATGGCAGGCCTTACAAGCAACACATCTAAGTACCACTCATGACAACTAAATGGAAATAACTTTATTGATACCTGAGAAAAAGTGCAAGAGAAACATTCCCACTGACGACACAGCTTGTCCCCTTAGGCCAGATCACCCCAGGGCCGAGACCATTCCTTAAGCCATGGGTCACTGGGAGCTTCGCTGCCAGCACCCAAAGGCCAGAGAAGTCCACAGCCAGGGCCACAGACCAGAAGAGAGAGCCTCTGCAGCACGGCTCCTGAGGTCAGGCTGGGGCTGGTATGAAAGCGTCATCGGTCAAGGTCCACAGCCTCCTGGGTCACAGTCCGGAGTCCGATAGAAAACAGCTCTTCCCAGGGCTCTCGGATCCAGGCCAGCAGGGCTGTCAGCTGCTCCTGGCACACAACACGGAGTGCCCAGAAGCTCTCCAGGCGAGACACCTGGCAGGCAGAGCAGTCAGCAAGTGAGCTACACAGGAAGCCACCAGGGGTGGGGACAGGGGACATCTCGGGGGAGGACCCACCATCCTCCTGGCTCATCATCTCTTCCCCTGCCCAAGCCCATGTCACTCCCGATAAAAGATGTTGACTCTGCCAAGAGGATCACAAGTTCAAACCCAGCCTGGGCAGGTTAGTGACTTAGTGTCTTAAAATAAAAAGTAAAAAATGGGCTGCAGATGTAGTTCAGTGCGAAGTCCCTGGGTTCGATCCCCAGTGCCACAAGGGAAAACAAAAGAGAGAGAGACGCCAACTTTGAGTCTGGTAAACAATCCAATTATGCCGACTGCCGGCCCAAAAGGGCTCTCACACTTCACAATCATCTCCAACCTCCCCTGCTGTACAGAATGTGAGCTCTAGAGTCAGTTTCAGAGAACGACATGGGCTTGATTCCTGGCTCTACCACTTGTGACCAAGCCTCAGTGTCCTCATCTGTTCAGCAGAACCCTGCTCATGTGGAGGTATGACAGTCCAAAGGCCAGCACACAGTGGGCTGATCCCAAAGCTCACAGCAGCCCACGCCCACCCCCCAACAGCACCTCCACCCGCACATGCACATGCGCACACACACACACACACACACACACACACACACACCTCATCGTAGAAGACCAGCCGCAAGTCCTCAGGGGCTGTGCGGTAGAGCAGCACAGAGCTCAGGCTGCTAAGTGGCTGCTGCTCCCTGACCCGCACACAGGGGCCCAGCCCCAAGGAAGGGGCCTTCTCAGAGGCTTCGCCAGATGCTGCTGCGAGGGGGGGCTCTGCATGGGACCCTGCCAGGTCCTCGTCTAACAGGTACAACGTGGCCAGAGTCACCAACAGGGACACAGGACAGGCAGAGGGTCCTGGAGGGAAAGAGGCAGCATGAAGCCACAGCAGACAGCCACGGAGGGCCTGGGTCTCTAGGGGACAGCTTCACAGTGTGGCTAAAAGATGCATGAACTGCACTCGGGAGTGGGCCACAAAGCAGCCTGTGCCCCCTTCCCGGAGTCTTGGGATCCCTGACCTCCAAACCCTCTCAGAGCCATGACAAAGGGGGAGCCACTACCCCATTACAGGGCAAGGGGAGCAGACCAGCCAAGCTGCCCACTTCCGGGAAGCCTGGACCCCAAAGCAAAGGTCTCTAGACAGCCGAGGGTGCAGGAACCCTGACTCCACCTGGACAGGCAGGGAACACACTGGCTGCTCTGAGGCTATATCCTTGAGGAAGACTGCTACGAGGGTGCTGTGGAAGTTCAAAGGGCTGGCTGGGACCTGAGACAGAGCGGGTGCAGAAACCAGGGAACATCTGCGGCACAGGGGCCTCACCTTCAACCAGGAACACCCGAAGGTAGAAGAACCGGGGAGCCTCTGAGGAAGTGTCTTGTCCCAGCAGAGGCCTAGGGAGCACAGAGGGTCAGGTGGGGTAGGATGGGCTTCAGGGAGGCTGGAAGGTTGGGAACAGACACAGGGCGTGTGGGAGGCATGGGGGTAGGTGGCAGCTCAGGACCACGTCTGGGGTCTGTGGAGAAGGCCCTGGCTCACCAGAGCCGGTGCTGGGGGGTCACCTCCTCCTCCGTGGCACTGACACAGTTCCTCCGGGTGACAGGCAGAGACTGCAAGACACCTGGCCACAGCCAGCCAGGGACAGGAATCCTCAGAGGCCTCTTCTCTCCTCTATCCCAACCTCTCCATCTCTCTCGCCTGCCTGTTCTCCATAGTTGTGGGTTCCAGAAACTTCTACAGGGATGAGTCCCATGACCTCCATCTCCACTGTGAAGCACCAAACTAGGTATCTGGCCCTCAGGGCCCTGCCTGCCTCCCTCCCCCACCTCTCACCAATGAGCTCCTCGAGGAAGAGCTGGCAACACCTGGCATCTCGGGGCAGCAGCACACAGCTGCCCACCCCAGCCGCCCACTCCAGCCGCAGACTCTGGCCTGCCAGGCCCAGCTCCATGCCACTCAAATCCTGCAGGGGAACGGCCAGGGTTGGCTGGAGCCAGTTAGCTGGAGGCCCGCTGTGGAGGAGGGGGCAGAGTGACTAAGGCTGAGGACAAAAAGACACCAACAGGGAGACCCTGGTGCTGCCCTGGCCACAAGCCTGGCTCACTCACCAGATGTCCCCTGTGACCTTCAACAGGTAAAGCCTGTGATCAGACACGACTACAAGACACAGAAATTCCCCCACGTGACCTGACACCACCACTGGTACCTACGGGAAAAGGAAGCTGATGAGAAACCAGAACTGAAGAGGACAGTGCCAGACCAAAAGCCAAGCTGCCCTCCCCACTCCTAGTCAGTGTCAAGGTAACCTTGCGCTCAAACAGCCTCTCCCATCCTCCACTCTCCCCACTCCCCATGAAACCCAGACTCAGACCCAGTGCTCAGCTGGCTTCACTCCTCTATCTTTCCCCTGCAACCTTCCCGCTGCGCTACACTAGACTGACGGGTCTGAAGCACAAAACCGATCACTGCACCCCTGCTTCAAATCTTCCCGTGGCTCCAGGTAGCCAGCATGCAGTCCAAACTCCTCGGCAGACATGGCAGGATACTCCTGAAGAGGTCCCAGCCTGCCTCAGTCTCTCCTGAGGACACCTACCCCTCACCCTAGATTCTGGCCTCCCCATCCGGGGCACTAGCTGTTCCCTCTTTTCCTTCTTACTCCTTGCTCACCCTTCAAAACTTGACTTAGACATCACCCCCCAGGCAGGCTTCCTACCCTACCCTGCCTGGATCAGATGCCTACTAGGACACTCATTATAGTACTTGCACATTGCACAATCTTGATTCAAGCTGAAGACTTACTCCGTCACCCCTCCGTGTCCGGCACACATTATGTGCTCGAGAAAGAGGGTCTAGTAACGCTGTGTGCAAGCACAGGAGGCCTCTTTCACTGAGTACCGGGTGCTACGCCCAGCAGCTCACAGACGCTGGCTCTTAGCCACTGCACTCCGTAAGGTGGGAGGTATCATCTCCATCGGGAGGGCAGAAAACGCAAACTCAGGAAGGATGGAATGTATCCACAGCAAATATCTGCTGTGTCGAGGCAGAAGCCAGATCTGGACGTTCCCTAGCACTTGACCGACTTGCTTCACTGTGGAGGATAGCGGCCCTGTGGTTAAGGGTCTGGGCAGTGCCAGGTGACACAGACCTTAATGCAGCACTGGAACTCCTCCTGGGCATCACTGAACACCTCAACATCCAGGAAGAGCCGGAGTCGGTGGTCCACAGAACGGAAGCCACAGCGCTCACCACCTGGGGAAACCGTGGAGCCGTCAGCCTGCCCCGGGAACCCACGGCTCTTCTCCACCTCCCATCTGTGCCCAGCCCCTCCCTAAGGCCCAGCCCCCCAGCTTGTTTCACTTGTACTCACGTGGACTGAGGCTCCAGCTGCTGCGGCCATGGGAGACCAGGATGTTGTCAGCCCTGCTGGGGTCACTGTGGCCAGGAGAGTCACAGACAGGGCTGGAGGACTGAGAGGGAGCTGGGGGCTGCTCTGCCTGGTTCTGCTCCCTGTGGGGCGTTTCCCCAGACAGAGCCAGGAGAACCACATGGTCACTACCACAGCTGGGACACACAGCAGGAGACTCTGGAGAGGGGATGCACACAGGCCCGTGAGCCTCTGCCACAGCCCACCCCACTGTGCTGGTAATGCTCACTGCCGCTCTCGGACCTCCCCTGGGCCCACATCTGCAGCTTCCTACACCCCAACTCCCTCTCCGGACAGTCACTGACTGATCACACCCCATCCCAGTGAGGGCTCAACTAGCCCACGGCCCACAGCTCCCCCAAAATGCACCCCATCTTCTAACTCCAGGCCCTGTCAGATTGGGCCAACTCAACCAGGCCTTGCTCTGAGCTTCCCCATCCCCAGCCTTGAGCTGATTAGTAACTTTTAGTGCTCTACCAGCAATGTCTGAAAGACTGAAATGAACAAATTGGGGCAGGCAGTATGGACTCCAGTACTAGGTTTGGGTCCAATTCCAGGCACCATCAATTAATGGCTCTACTCTCTGCACCTGGCTCCTATACGTAAGATGGGATGAATGTAGTGTATATGTTAGGAAGTTGGCAGGATGGCTGCATGGAAGGCAGGACAAGGATCAGCAATGAAAGAATAGATACTCTGAGCATCTGGAATGTGCTGACATGGCTCCCATGCCAGCATTATCCTATTTCACTTCCATCACAACTCCCTATCCCCGGGGCATGACGGTACATGCCTGTAAGGCCAGCTACTCAGAAGGCTGAAGCAGGAGGATCACAAATTTGGAGCCAGCCTAGGCAATTTAGGAAGACCCTGACTCAATTAAAATTTTTACAAGGCTGGGACATACTCAGCGGTAGAGTACTTGTGTTGCAAGTGGTGAGGCCCTGGGTTCAAAGAAAAAAAAACCCAACCCTCTCCAACAACAACAAAAACCCCCCTACCCAATTTTGCAAATAGGAAAATAAAAGATTAAGTAATTTATACACCCCTGCCCGAGACCTTACAAATGATGGTAACAGCAGCTTCCACACGAGGAACCCGTGGATTGCACAGGTGCTATGCTGGATGCCTTAATGTCACATTCAAATCTCACAGCACACACCATGGGGTGGGCTCATGATTTTTTCAGTTAGATGAAGTAACTGTGGCTCAAATCAAAGGAGAATGAAGCCCAGGGTAGTGTGCATCAGAAATGCCACCATGGAGGGGACCCCAGGAGCCACAGGACCTGTGGAGCACAGCCAGGGTTCTAGGCTGGGCGGGGGCTGCTGCCACTGCACATGAGGCCTGGCCCTGCTAGGCTGCAGCCTCTGGGCAGGCAAAGTGTCGGGGGCAGCACAATCCTCTATTTTCTACTTTTTTTTTTCTGGTACTAGAAATCGAACTCATGACCTCGCACTTGCTAGGCAGGTGCTGTGCCACTGAGCTGAATCCCCAGCCCCAATCCTCTATTTTCTAAATAAAACCTCAGGCCCTGCAGCAACTGCTACCAGGAAGAGATATGTGGTTAAAAATCATGCATTTTAACACAGCAGTTATCAAGAACATTCTTTTTCTTCTTCAATATCTTCTCAAAGACCTTGCTTTCTGATTAGTCTATAATGGAGAAATCTGTTGTTTTAGAGAACAGAATATATAAAAAGATGCCACAAGGCACTATTTGCTATCAGACAGATTACAAGGTCAGTCAAGGAAGGACAGACTACCACAGTTACCAACGCATCTTACTCAAAGCCATGGTGCTCAGAGGGCAGCATGACAACCTGACACTGCAGGAAGGACTCATTCTGAAATATTAGCCAAAAAACATCTAAAAAGCCTTCAAGTTATGAAAAAATAATGAGTGTGCTTAAGCACAGTTACAGAGACTGCATTTCTTCATTTTGAGAAAAACACACACCCAGGACATAGCTTTGGTTCTCCTTTTTGTAGCTGTAGCAGGCAGGTATTTCTGCTTCTCCTCCCAGCAGCCTGGTGGCTACCTCTCCCCAAGGCCTTGAACCCTGGGGCTACTCAAAGCTGCTTTCTCTGCAGTGGGGTGGTCAATTGGTCAGGGTCGGTACCTGTCTTTTGAAACAGCGGCCTCCAGCTTTCCTCGCTGTCCAACCCCAACCTCGGCTCTTCTGGCCTGAACTCACAGCCACAGCGCAAACACTGGAACCTGCCTCCCAGCGGGCTGCTGGCCTTCCCAAGCTGCTGCTGAGCTACGGCTGTGAACGGGTTCAGCACAGCAAGGAGCTCCTGAAAGAGGGTGGTCGGCAGGCAGCTGTGAGCAGGTGGACCCCAGACAGACATCCCTGGCAGCCCCAGCCTCCTGGCCAGAAGTCAGCTCCTTAGCTCTTCCCATCTCCCCCATAGCTCCTGCCCCCTCACCTGGGCGGCTGCGTGGGCATCAGGCTCCAGCACAACGTAGCGACGCAGCTGCCGGTCAGGGCAAATGTAGGCGAAGCGCAGCGCAAGGACAGGGGCCCTGGAGAGGTGATCTGAGCCCTTCACAGCAGGAGGCCAGGGGACAGAGGGGTTAGGGTTACACTGAGCACAAGGGAAACAGTAATGCTGGACCCCATTCAAATGCTCCTGCTGGTATCCAAGCCCTACCAAGGAACTCCTCCGCCCAGCCTCCCCAAACCACCTGCAACTGCACTCTGTCCCCTGCCCAGTGCCCCACCTCAGCTGTCGGAGCTGCCTCCTGGACACCTAGTACCTTGTCCAGAACCTGCCCCCGCCCCCAACCCCACCACTCACCTCGGGCACTGGATCTCTCTGGGTTGGGCTCTTGGGCTCTAGCTCAGCTGTCACCAGACTCTGCAGCTCCAGCTGCCCCAGAGTTCGACCTGCTTGGAGTTCCACCTCCACCACATGGGCGGAAGTGACCCGGAGAAAGCATTCCATGCCCCGAAGCCCCTTAGGCCTCTGCAGGGGACACACCAACATAGGGCGACAGAGCTCGGCTGTGGAGACACCAAGAGAGGAGCCTGGAGGAGGGCAAAGAACCCAGACTCTGCCCTCCCTGGGTGGACCCCCGGCCAGCCTGGCCTTGCAAGAGTCTCCCAGACATTCCAGCATCACTTGGCCCCAGCTTCCCCAGTGGCTGCAGGGAGCTCACCTTCCACTTCCTTCTGCTCCTGCTCTTCTTCCTCTTCCTGTCTCTCCTTTGCTCTCTCTTCTTTTTCCCGTTCCTCCCTCTCCTCTTCCTCCAGGGGCCGCAGCTCCATCCTGCCCTGCTCTGCCACTTTCTGTTCTGACTCCTCAGGCCCTCCAGCTGCCTTCTCTGAAGTCTGAGGGCTTGATGGAGTCTCAGGGTCCAGGACACCTGGAGGGGAGGTGCTCAGGGCAGGAGCTTTCGAGGTGGTCAGAAGGGGGCTCCCAGAGGCCCCCAGCTGGTTCCTATACTGCAGCCAGTCACAGCCAAACCTCTCCCGGAAGCTGTTCAGCAGCTCGAGTTCCCGATGTTGATGCACAAACAATCCTGGGTAGAGGGAGAATGGAGAACCGGGCAGTCCCCCAGCCCCAGCCCCAGCCCCGCCCCAGATAGCCCCAGCCTCTTCCTATGGGTGCTCCTCTATGTGAAGCAGGGCTGCGGGGTGCTATGGATTTCCCATCAGTAGCTTGTCCCCAAGCATGGAATGCTGTGGTCACATGCAATCCAGGATCACACAACCCACACTACTTTCAGAAATTCACAAAATATAGCACATCTAGGCCCTAAGATGGCCTGCAGGGAAGAAAGTTATTTAATTTTGTTTAACCTAGCACTTCCCAAACTTATTTGGCCACTAGTTTATTTTATTATATGACCTTTCAATGCCTCACAAAGTTAATGTTCCCCGAAAAGCTTTGGAAAATGCTGCTGGGGAGTAGTTCCCTTTCCTGTTCCTCAACTAGAAGGACAGAAGACAGACTATCAGACCTTCTACAATGTTCTATACCACCAGAAAATCAAATTTCCCTTACCAGACCTTCACAATAACATCAAGATAGCTGAAAGGGGTCAGAGGGAGGCATGCAGGAGGGCTGACTTACCAGCTGGGGAGGGGTCCAGGGTTCGGGGCTCCGGGTCTGTATCACTGGGCTCAGAGATGCTTGCCCGCCTCACACGGACTCGGCTCTGGGTTGGGCAGTGAGACAGGTTCTACAAACACCAGGGCCTCCACCACGGCCACCCACCCAACCTACACAAACCACTCCAACTGCTAACAAGGATAAGGTCTTACTGTTGCCGATCTAGGACCCTGCAAAGGGACTCAACGCCAGGCATGAGGCAGTCAGGGATGCCCTTACCTTAACCTTACGAAGAGGGCCCTGGGCCACAACACCCCCTGAAGAGAGGCTGTCACTCAGCTCAGGGCCACCTGAGGTTTCGGTGGTACTCCCCAAGGTCCAGGGCTGGGGTGGGGCCAAAGGGCCAACCCCCAAGAATGTGGAGGTCTGGCATGTGACAACAGGAAGAAGAAAGAGGTTGGGGCCTGGGCAGTACCTCTGTGCTGCCCAAGCTAGCCAACAAATGGGCCCTACTTTCCACTGACCAGGAAGATCTTACCCAGCTACCCCTCTCCCCAGCCAGTGCTCCCCCTCCCCATCTTTTCCCACCATCATTCCTTGCTGTCCCAGTATCCCGCTCCCACGGTACAGACCTGAAAGTCTTTCAGTGACAAGACCTCCCCGTCAAGAAGAAACTGCACCAAGACAAAGGAGGAAGGGGCAGTGCTTATGGTGGAACCAGCCCCAAGAAGTTCCCATATTAACAGCATGGGCCAGGTCCTGGGCCCCTCATCCCGGGATGGCAGGAAGGTACAGGAGCAAGGAAGGACTGGGAAGGACAGGGGAAACAGGGTGGACACAAGACAATCACTCACACCATGAGCAGCATCCCTGGCCCGGGGTGACAGGTACTGGGTGGTGGCTACACGATGTGCAGGGTGGAACCACAAAGGGTTCCCCTCCAGGTAGAGCTGAGGGGCAGGAAGAGGAAAATGAGGTGGGACTGGGCCCTATGCGTGAAAAAGGCACCGACCTCTGACACGGGAGGGCCAGACACAAAGGCGGCTCCCAGATGTTAAAGCGCCCCCGTACCTTGCGGAGTTCCGCCAGCAGGCACAGCGGCGATAGCTCCCTGTGTCCTTCGAGCAGATTGTATGCCACATCGAGGTGTCGCAGGTTTTTCAAGTGCTCCAGGCCTGGGCAGAGGTGAGAAGGGATGAAGCGGCATGGGGGTGAGTGGCTGGGTGCAAGCTGGTGTGGGGCAACGTGTGCTGCAGGGGGGTGCAGATCTGAGCACCTCAGCCCTACCATCAAGCCTTGCTGGGGCTCAGAGGCACCTGGTCCCTGGGCTACGCCACATCTCACATGGCCCCCATTCCCTTCTCATCTGCTCCACCACAGCCCCACTCACCTTGCAGGTTCCGGAGCTCGTTGCTTCGTAGTATCAAAGTCCTCAGGGCAGCCCCTGACGGTCCCATTCTCGGCACCAAGTTCAGGTAGTTATAGGAAATGTCCAGATGACACAGCTCAGACAAATCCTGCAATGGGATAGGGCAGGCACAGATTCTCACCCTGACCAAACTCGAGTCAGGGTCCTCTGAGCCCACTTCACCACTCGGCCTCTACCACGGCCTATAAAAACTGCAGACCCTCAGTACAAATGATTTCAGTCACCCTCTACCTCCAACACTAGCACAGTTCTGAGAGCTCCGGGTTGTTCCCCTAGGATGGCAACTCTAATCCCCTTAGGTTCCTGCCTGGGAAAACAAGGCTACCAGGAGAAATTTACTCTTTGCTCCAGCCAACACCTGAAGATAGGGCCCAACTCCTAGTCTCAGTGGGAGAGGACAGACTAAGCTAGCCAAGGGCAGCTAGTGAGCAAATCCCAATGGCTTGCTCTGTGTAAATTTCTGCTTCCCTGAGGCTGCGGAAGCTCCCCCTTTACATTTTCCTACTCCTTCATTCTCCATTTAAAATGCCCAGTCATCTCTGCACAAAGTGGTTCAGTTCACATTGCACTCTCTTTCCTACTACAACAGTTTATTACTAAAATCTGTCCTTACCATTTTAACTAGAACCCAACTATGTTTTTCTTTGAAAGAGGATAGAAAGACATGGGAAAAAGGTTTGTTATCATAACCACAAAAGCTACAATTTTCTAAGCTAGGCAGTAGGCTAAATAATACTAAGTACTCTGCACAACCATTTAAATGTACGAAAGCTGGTACTCTCTCAGGACTTCCACTTTACAGGTGAAGAAACCAATGTAACTAATTTGTCCCAAGTCACACAGGCATTACAAGCTAAGATTGGAACTCCCAAACACCACCTCCCAGGATATGGCTCCACCCAGAACACAACGGCCAGGCACAATACAATCAGGCCCAGGGGAGAGGGTGAGAGCAGCACAATCCTTGGCCCGGGTGCTCAGGCGCAGGGCTGCTCACACTGACCATCAGGAAGCCTTTGCAGTCCTGCACTCGGTTGTGGCTCAGGTTCAGGAAGCGCAGAGCCGACAAGAGACGCTGAGGCGGACAGGAAAAGGAAGCACAGGACAGACTTCACACACGGCACTCTCCTCCCTCAGGCCCCTTCCCTTCCCTCTGAAGCACTCACCAGGGAGCTGTCTAAGGCAGTCAGGGCATTGTAACTGAAGTTAGCAGAAAGCAAAGCCAGCCAGGGGAGGGCAGAGCAGAGGTCACCTCCACAGGCTGAGAGCAGGTCCTAGGCGGGGGACAGGCCCTTCATTATTCCACTCTTATCTTCGTCTGCTGCATCCATCATTCACTCACACCTTATATACCAAGCTCTACTCAGAGATGCAGACTTAATGCAAGCCCAGGTCCCTATTGAAGGAAATGCACTCTGGGCCAAGTGGGGAGGCAGACGCTGGAATATTTACTACAGTATGGCAGTGTGACTGTACATACACAGACAGATACACAGTACTATGGGGGGAGGTCACAGGGGAGTGTGCAGGTGAGAACATTAGAACTTCATCTTCTGTGTCTCTGAGGACAGAGCATGAGGGCCCACCACTCACCCCACTTACCTCTAGTGCCTGGATGCTTCTGCTGCAAATCAGGGTCTCCAGCTGGGAGTAGATGCCCTGGAGGCCATGCAGGCAATGTAGGGGGACACCTCGAAGCTAGGGCAGGGGAAGGAGGGGAGGAAGACAGAACATGACGGAGGAAAAAGACCTCATCCCTATCTCTCATGATGGAGAAGAGATGGTGACAAAGCCCAGCTACAGAAGCTTTCAGGGAGGCTTTATAGAAGAGATTGGACACCACATTACTGCAGAATAATGGTACACTCAGGCTTGGCCGCCTCACCAAAAGAGGCAATTCTCTGCCCTTATACCCAAGTGACTACCCACGTTGAGTTTTATGTACCAACATCCCCCAATGCCCCCATACCTCCAGCTGACGAAGGGACTTGAAAGGAAAAATCTTGATGGGCCCTGGAAGGTCAGGTCCAGGGATATGGACCAGCTAAGAGGAAAACAGTCAGATTACTGAGGCATGGCAGTCTCCCTTTCCTCAGCATCCCTTCCTCAATGTACCCACCCGTACCAATGACATCATCTGGACCTCAGCCCTGCACACTTCCTGTATCCCACTGGCCACCACCCACACTACCCACCGCTGGCCTCCATCACTCCCTAACCTCTGTGCACATCTGCCCTATCCCCACGCCAGAACCTTGAGTGAAAGTGTTTTCTGCAGCACATCGAAGAGGAACTGAAGCTGGAGGATGATGGGGGAGTCGGCAGGGTGGGAGGGCAGAGCCACAAAACCTGTCTGGCCAGGACCCCACAGCCCCAGGTACAGCTCAAATAGTCGATTCAACTGCTGCAGTGTAGCAGTCAGGAGGCTCAGTGTGCTACAGCCAGACAGGACCACATCCCCTGCAAGCAGAGGGGCAGACAGGACAGGACATAATAAAAAGGTCTGTCCCCTTGTTTTAGGAGTGCTGACCAAAAATATACCCATTCCAATCCATAATGTAGACCATCCACTGTAGAATCAAATTTTCTGTCTCCTCCCCAGCTCAGAAGTAGCTCTCCCATCTTAAAAAAAGTCTTGACTCTTCAGCCTGATATGTAAGACTGTTTTGCTATGTGACTCCAATGCACGTTTCTAAATTCTTTTACCTTTTGCTCAAATCAGCCCAATCTAGTCATAGTGCTGGAGATTCCACCAGCTTGGGTCACGGCTCTCTCATTTTCTGAAATATTCTCTTCTATTATCCAGATAGAAATCAATTGCACTCACCCAGCAAGCCTTCTCAGTAGGTAATACTGCTGAGCTTCCATGCTGTAATCACTCATTTTTACATAAAAACTAATTGATGCTTTACCTTTTTTTTTTCTGATTGCAAAAGTAATATGTACATTTATAGACACTTTTTTTTGTCCTTTTGAGACAGGGTCTCACTTGGCAGTTTAAGCTGGCCTTGAGCTAACTTTTTAACCCAGGCTGGTCTCGAACTTGCAACAATATTCCTGCCTCAGCCTCCCTGAGTGCTGGGATTATAGGTGTGGGCCACTATGCCCAGCTTTATAGAAACTTTCAAACAATATTAAAATGCATGTCACAGAAAAGTTATCCACTCATTATAGCACAGAAGTATTGTTATTGCTACATTTTTAAAAATGCTCTAATGAGACTGTCATCCTCTAGGGTATCTTTTGGTCACCCTGACACTCCTCATTACACCTAAAAAGGTCCATGAAAAGCTAGACATGGAGATTGCTTTTAACTTTTCTAAAAAACAAGTATAAGGTCAAAGGATGTGGTAGAAATAGTACAGAGGTTCTCTATACTCTTTGCCCAGTTTCCCCCAAAATTTATACTTTACCTAACTATAAAACAGCATCAATATTGGGAAAATGATAATGGTACAATATGTATCGTATACAGTTCTATGCTCTTTGTGTAGATTCCTGCAATCATCAAAATCAAGACACAGAACTATACTATCACCACAAAGACCTCCTTCCTGCTATTTATAGTCACACAGTCACATACCCATCATCTCTAACCCCTGAAACTGTATCTGATTCTTGCTGAACAAATTAACAAATCCTAACACTGCATGAAGGACTGTCTAGGTACCAGGCATTAAGGACAGATACAAACATGGTTCAAGGACTAGTCCCGCCCTCAAAAGGTCTCCTAATCTAAAAGAAAAGTCAAGTTCGGGTTGCGATTGTAGGTCGGGGCTAGAGGGCTTGCCTAGCATGCATGAGGCTCTGGGTTCAAAACAACAACAAAAAGAAACAAAATAAAGAAAAAGGGGGGAAAAAGAAAAGTGCACAGTTACTGATAGAAGCCAGGAAATAAAACTGCTATAAAGACTCCACAGATAATCACCAATGAGAGTTCACAACGACAGAAGGCAGCTACTGTTAACTGGGTAACAAATGCCAGATGACTTTGTTACCTCATTTAAGCCTCATCTGAATCTCCAAAAAGAAACACTATTAACTCCATCTTTCAGACATGAAAACTGAGGCTCAAAGAAATTAAGAATCTTGACTGCAATCATAGAGCTGGTGGGAAGTTGCCACTTCTACTCAGAGTCAGGGCAGTTGTACTGTAACTGATGCCAACCTTGTATTAAACAAATACTGTGATTCATGTCTGGCATGGTGGCTCACACCATGGATTTGGGAGGCTGAGGCAACAGGCCTGCCAAGAACTCAAGGCCAGCCTGGGTAACACAGTGAGTTCAAGACCAATCTGAACTACATATCCAGACCCTATCTCAAAAAAAAAAGAAAAAAAGAAAAAAACCAACCAACCCCACAGCCAAATACTGTGACTCCACTATTGCCTGACACCGAAAGAAATAATTATAGTAACAATGGCTACCAAGGCCTGGCATGGTGGCGCACGCCTGTAATCCCAGCACTCGGGAGGCTGAGGCAGGAGGATCTTTGCAAGGTTTTCGAGACCAGCCTGGGCTACAAAGTGAGCTCAAGGCCAGCCTGAACTGCATTGCAAGACCCTGTCTCAAAAAGACATAAAAAATAAAAGCTACCAGTTTTGAGCATTTACTATATGTGCATACCCTGCACTACTTTCCATCTATTAAACATTTCCTCAACTTTTCAGTTAAGTGTAATCAGTATGCCCATCTGCTGGTGAGTAAAACTGAGTTCACAAAACCTAATACAGCCAAGTCAAAAGAGGGCTGAGATTCCAAACTAGGTGGGTCTGACTCCAAATCTCAAGTTTTTAGCTACAAGGCACTCTACAAGGATGATTGAGATCTGTTCCTGTTCTCCGGGAATTTACAGTCAAGCAATGACCGCTTCTCTCTGAGAGAATCAGAATGCATGGAAGAAGTGGCGGCACTGGAGTTTGGTCTCTAAGGATGGGTGGAGTTTAGACTGTCAAAAACAGAGGATACTGTAGGCAATACATTAGGGCGAACAAACCCAGAAGTAATGGAATGAATTCTGACACCTCGTGACCCAAGCTGTCCTAACTCTGTGACTCTTAGGGTGTGTCTCTAAGAAGTAGGAAGCACCTGCCTGCCTGAAGCCCAGCGCATCCGGAAGTCCACTCACCAGACTCCCGCAGAAGCCCCGCAAGCTTCCACACTACCGAGTCCCTAGGAGCGGTCGTCATGGCCACGGGACGCTAGGGGCGGAGCCTGGGAAAAAGAGGAAGCGGAAGAGCCTCAGGTGGGCGGTGGTGTCAAAAAACCCTGAGTGTTCGCACAAGCCGAGGCGTCTTGGGTACAAAACAAAGAGAGAAACCAGAAAGAGCGTCCTCGACGGTGCCCTCTCGAGAAACCTAAGACTGCCCAGCCATACTGACCGTTGCATCCGGCCTTCCAACCTGCTCGGCAACCCTTTGCTTGCGATGAACAGGAAGTCCCGCCCCGGAAGTAAGGAAACCGGAGGGACGACCGGAAACGCGTACCCATAGACGGAAGCCACGCCTCGGGATTGGGAACGCGCTGGAGTAGGTGGGACGATAAGTCATTGGTCGGAGCTGCCTGGGCGCGGACTCCACCCGGAGCTGGGGCCCGGGCCTCTCTGGTGTCTTTTGTCCCGCGCCGCCTGGTCTCGTACTTGGCCCGCGGCGCTACTGCCCTCGCCCCAGGCCAAGGAGGAAAACCTGACGCGTTCGTACACTAGACTGGGAAGCAAAGTTTGGAGAATGGAATTTTCTGCTAATGAGGAAAAAACTCATCCAAAGTGAACATTCGTTTTCCAATTAAAGGAAGACGAAGACGTGTCCGCGGTGCGAAGGTTTTTGCTCTGTGAAATACCTGATACTTAAAGGGGTGTGGCCTCTAGGGTCCCTTTGCCTCCTTAGTGTCTCTAAACTCCTTTTTCCTTTAACCATAATCATCTTAAATTAGCCTCTGGTAATGCACACGTGAACCTCGTCCCTTGTTTGTAAAGTGTTTCATCTTATCACACATGAACCAAAAAGTTGCCATTCCGGGTTTGAAAATGAGAAAACAGGCTCCCAAGGGCTGGGTTACTTGTGAAGGTCGTTCAATTAGTAACCGACAGCTCGAAGACTGCCAAAGTTTCTTGACTCCCAAGTTCCGGATGTAGCATTTACCGGGCTCCTAGTCAAATGCTGATGTCAGCTGATGAAGCAGATTAAGAAAGATATCTTCAAACAGAATTTCTGGTTTTCAGGGAGTTTCTTTTTTGAAGAGCTCCTTTTCTGCACAGAAAAGTCTAAATGAAAAGTCAGTTGAGAGTAGGAGTCGCGTTATAAATTAACCACTCTAAGTTGCCTAATTTGAAGGACGTTGTTTTCTAAAACCAATACTTAAAACAGCAACGTATGTCATAATCTCTGCAATTTTTGCACTTGCTGCGTATTATGTGTGGCCTGAGACAAATCCTCAAAGATGGTTAATGAAGTAAAGTATACCATAAACAGCAAAGCAAGCCGCACGTGGTGGCGCACGCCTGTAATCCCAGCACTCAGGAGGCTGAGTCAGAAGGATCGTTGTGAGTTCGAGACCAGCCTAGGCTACAAAGTGAGCGCAAGGCTGGCCTGAACTGTATAGCGAGACCTTGGCTCAAAAAGACAAAAAAACAAAAAACAAAAAAAACAGCAAAGCAGTATACAAATATAAAGTCAGAGTAAATGCTCAATAAATTTTTATTGAATTATTAATCCCATAATTTGATGTTTGTCAGTCCTAGTTTATCAGTCACCTGGAAATGGGGAAGCTGGGGTTTCCCACACTATCACTGCCAACTCAAGCTCTTGGGCAAGAAACAAGGTTCTTGTGAAGTTCTTAACATTGCCATGGCTTGAAATCTGTTGCAAGCCTCCCCACCTCCCCAGCCCACAGTTATTCTCTGAGAATTGCTCCATTTATATGGGTAGGCCCTGTGGCCAGGTTTGTTTTACAGCCTTTTGCTTCCAGAAATGTCTAAGTGAGACAAAGAAAGAAACAAATCTGAACTACAGAGGGGAAGAAAAATAGATCTACTAAGAGAACTGGCATCAGGAGACTAAGTAGTTCTTGTTTCCTCCCTGCTTGTGAGGCCCACTCCCCTTTCCGTCCTTGGCCTGCAGGGGAGCCTTGACTGCCTTCCAAAAAATCCCCCCCTTTTTTGCTCGGTCAAAATGTACTTCTGTAAATCACTACCATAAGAACTTAATTAAAGCACACACACACACACACACACACACACACACACACAAAACTATTTTAAGAAAGGAGAAAGGAAAAAGAAAATCCTGTTTTACTGTAACAGCCAAAATGATACATGTACATACCAAACATTTTGAGAAATATGTCAGAACATGTTCTAAGTTTGATTTTTTGTTTTTGTTTTTTGAGACAGGGTCTCGTTATGTAGTTCAGACTGGCTTTGAATTCACTATGTAGCCCAGGCTGGTCTCAAACTCGAGCAGTCCTCTTTCTCAGACTCCCAAGTGCTGGGATTACAGGCATGCACCACCACACCCGGCAAAACATGCTCTAAGTAAGTGAAAAGAACTTGTATTCCTAGTAGGAAGACTCAGTGTTATGATTTGATATTATAATGACGCAGTTTCAATGAGAAGATTTTGTAACTTGACAAGTTGATTCTAAAATTCAGCTGGAAGACTAAACATTGGGCATAGCCAAGAAACACTGAAGAAAAATAAAACAAACAGGACTAATTGGGGCCTTGCCCTACCAGATATAAAATATACAATAAAGTCACAGTGACCAAAGCAATGTGGTAATGACAAGAGAGATAGATAAATATTAATAGATCATAGTACAAAAGTAACCTTGATTACATAGAAATTTTTTTCTACGAATGATAAAATTGACTTTAAATCAATTGTGTGAGTAATGAGTTGTTCAGTAGTTTTGGAATAACTAGATAGATGTCTATCTGGAAAAAGCTAAATCCCTTACTTCCTGTACATTAGATTACAGAAAGATTAAAAAGTTATACATTTTCTAAAAAATTAGCCATTCTAAAAATTGTCATTAGACAGTAGCTTTGCATAATTTATTATCATAAGTAAGTCTTTCCTTAAAAGTATTCTGCTCTTAACCTGTAAAAATTCTTCTGTCTTAGTCCCCAAGACTAACACATCACCTAGAATCAGAAATGTACAGCTGTCTTCCAAGCACCTGAATAAGACCTCTGACCATAATCACAGTACTCAAGAGAGACAGCTTATAACCCTCATGTTCCGTCTCCGTGTTACAGAAGAAGACAGCCTCTGTTGGTGGTTCCTGCCATCCAGAAGTTCTCTGGAGTGGCCCTGCAAATGCTTAGAATAAAAAGGGATACAAAAAGATGTGCCAGTTACTAGCTTAGGCTGTAGGCATGAGAAAGGAGAAAAGGGTAGCTTCACACAAGAATGACAAACTGAACTACAAGAGAATACAGACCTCAGATTCTGGTCCAACGCCCTCTTATTTCTGATACCTTGGAGCAGGCAAGACCCAGGACTATTGCCCACACAGGAACAGAAGTCACTGTTCATCTTTAGGACATGAGCCACTGCCCTGACCTCCCCATTTTGATATTACAGCCTTCAACAGAAGATAAGATGACTGACACCTAAGAATTCCTTCAAAATGAAAATTTCACACTTTGGTTAGGAGTAAGAAGAATGAAATTGGATGAGCTACTTGTTTATCAACTTAATATCTTCATGGAGTACAAAAGGAGACAAAAGAGAATGAAGAAATGTGAATATAACCTCCGCAAATAGAATATTGGTAACGAGTTCCTACCAGAGAGAAGGCCATGTGTCCAGCATCCTCACCTCCAGGACTGAGTGGTCAGAGGGAATCCTTTCTATGAAGTACCCTATTGTGTCTCTTGGCTTTGCTACCAGATCTGGCCTCAAAAGACTGGCTCAGGAATTGGGCCAGCCACCAAAAGCAAACATGTAGGACCTAGCAGCAGCACTGGAAGAGGTCTGGCCTGAGAACTCTGCATTAGACTGTAACCAAGCAAACTCCCCAAAGTGTGGTTTCTGGAGAGACTGGGCTGAACTTGAGGCATAAAGAGGGAATATGAGAAAGGAAGAGCCAAGCTTAATGCAAAATCACAGAAGCTGCGGCCTGAGAACCGCTGACTGAAAAGGGAGCAGGCTTGGTGGTGTATGCCTATAACTCCAGCATTTAGGAGGCTGAGGCGGGAAGATTACCTCGAGTTTGAAGTCAACCTGAGCTACATAAAGAGTTCAAGGCCAGCCTGAGCTAAATAGTGAGATCATATCTCTAAAACACAACAAAAAAGGGGGAGGAAAAAGAAGCAACAAAATAAAAATATGAAGTGATCCACCAGCAGCACTGGGCAACCAGCCCGACAGGATTTTGCAGTTCAGCATAAAATAAGGGGAGGGATTCCATGAGTAGCTTTAAATGGACCCAAAGAGACATAAGAGTGAGTTAACTTACCTCATTGTCTATCTTGGAAACCCAAGGAATCTCCTGAGGAGGGAAAGAAGGACTGTAAGGACCAGGATTATGGGCCTAATTCAGGACACAGAAAGGAAAAGGAGTTGTGAAGACTACTGTGAACAGAACAGAAGATTGACAGGAAATATGGATAGAGGCAGCTCTGGAGAAGAAAAGAAAGACAGAATCAGGGAGAAGAAGACAACTATGCTGTGTCAGGGAAGGTCTGTTGCCAAAGTCATGTACATAAGGGATGCTGTGTCTTCTGTTTCAATTCTCCCTGCACAGAGGGCCAGACAGAGGCAGGCAAGGGACGAAGCAGCAATGGAGTGGCAGTAGGTGTGCCACGAGAGCCAGTGGGAAAAGGGAAAACAGCAAAGTGGGAAAATTTAAGCTTAAGGAAAGGAGGAGCTGCTTTGGAATCTCAGCCTCTGTAGAATCACAGAGTTAGAGCAGTTCTTTTGCTTTTTCAACAGATATTTTCTCAACCCTAACTCTGTACTAGATCTGGATAAATAAAGAAGACAAAGCTGTGGCTCTCTTATCAAGAAGCTGGCCTTGTAGGGGGAAAGACAGATCCCAGCAATCACATGATGATATTGTATTAGTTTCCTATTGCTGCTGTAACAAATTACACCAAATTTAGTTACCAAGTTTAAAGCCACAAACTTATTATAGTTCAGAAAGTCAGAAGCCCAAAGTAGGTCTCATTAGGCTAAAATTAAGGTGTCAGCAAAGCTGTGTTCTTTTATGGAGTTTCCAAGTAAGAAGCAGTATATTTTTTTAAATGTGGCTGGGGATTAAACCTAGGATCTCACACACTTTAGGGAAGGACTCTGCTGTGTAACCTACATCCCCAGCTTGGGGAATCTCTATTCTTATTTTTTCCCAGGTTTAGATGGCTGCCTATTTCTCTGGCCTGGGACCCCCTTTCATCTCCAAAGCTGGCAGTGCCTACCTGAATCTTTCACATCATATCAACTAATACTGGATCTCCTGTCC